AAAATGCATCTTAACTGCAGTGTAGTTGGAATTTAGGAAATCATTTGTAATTTGCATGTTTTATGATAAATATAGCTGTGATAGTGCTTACAGAATGGAACACTCAAACAACTGATAATAAATCCTTAAATACAATTTGTCATGGAAAATTGCCAATTAATTTAGATCATGGAAGTGTTCCAAGCGTAATTAAAGCATGGAGCAATTTTTTTCTTTCTTTTTTTTTTTTTTCTGTAAGAACGCCTTAAGAGGTTTGAAAAACAGACCTTTGACAAACACTGCATCAGAACTAACCAGTTTGTGTTTCCAGTGTTGATGATGTTAGTTTGGTGTTTAATTGCCCTCTGTTATTTGCCCAGGAATGAAGGCATGTACATGGACTTCCACTGCAAAGTAGTTGATGGAGAGTACCTTGATACTGTAACATAATTTAATACCACAAATCTTGTTTTTGTGTAACCTTTTCAGGTTGATATTTCTGGGTTTCAACTGTCTATTAAGACTCAGTTCAGAACACCCTTTGAAACTATATTGCTTCTAACAAAGGTAAGTTCTTATTTTCCAATTTGGCAGTTGTAGTTACACGTTGAGCCAAGAAAATGGCTCAGTTGTGATCAAGAAACTTTCAAATGTTAGTGTGTCTTCTGGATTTATAATATAAGGCCAGTTAACGAGCTTAGGATTTTCCAAAATGATGAAGTCTTTATTTTTACCTGTTCAGGTGAAACCACTCCAGTTTATGTTGGGTACAACATAATTAATAATAAAAGTCATTAATATGTGCAGCATATGGGGTATTTGTTACAGTCAAGTAACGGTAATAAGATGCATCATTTTCAGTTCCCCAGTCTGGTAGCATTTTAGGAAGCAGAAATACATGTGTGCAGTTAAATCCCTGCCTTGCTGTCCTGACTGCACAGCCTAACAGAGCTGAGACATCAGGCCCCAGCTTTGCAGACTTTCACTGTTTCTGTCTCTTACCTATGCTTCTGATTAAAATAATACACACCATGTAATTTCAAATTTATTTCTGTGTGACTTAAGTTGATGAATCTTCTGAATTTCAGCTATTGCTGTTTATTTTTACTTTATTCATGGTTGTGATTTTCTGATATTAATTGAAGTCCATTAAAATGCTTAAGAATCAGAAAACTTTCCCAATAATTTTCTTATACGTTTTATAGGTCTGAAGTTTTCCTGAAATTGATTTTGTGCTTGTGGATATCAGAAAAGAACAAAAACTAGAACTGTTCTCTTAAATAAGGGGCCGTTTCAGAATGAGCTAGCCTGTTTACCTGAAATCTGTCTTTGAGCAAAAAAATGACTGAATCACTTATTCTCTTCTATCAGACTGCTTTAATATATCAGCCTTGAGCACCTGAGTCAATCGCACAGCTGCCTAGGCATGAAAGGCTATTTAGGCAATTAAACAAATGAGAGAGGAAATGTAAAATTGAAGTAGCACTTGTTAAACTATAAATACTAATTAAGGTGAATTTACTTTTCTTTTAAGGAACTGGAGCTGTACAAAGAGGAACTCGTAACAAAGCCTGCACTTCTTGCCATTAATAAAATGGATTTGCCTTGTGCAAAGGACAACTTGAATGAACTTATGTCACAACTACAGAATCCTCAGGGTAAATGAAATTCCAACAATAACCTTTGACAAAAGTAGCATTAAGATTTCATTGGGTAACTGTGCACTGGCAAAGAGTTGTTTGAAAATGAAATCAGATAGTAAATTTATTATTTGAACATATATTTAAAATCACTTTCTGCATTTAGAGCTCTGTTTATACCCATTGGTAGTGGCATTGGTTTCACTGTTGGGGCAGGATTTTAATAAACTGGAGATATCCTAGACAATCTTTCCCAACTATGAGATGGGACAGTAAGTTTCCAGTCTAGGGGTTTTGAATAAGAGTAACCTGCATTGAGGGTCTTCTTGCAGACACTGACATACATACAATTATATATGTATACACATGAAAATTCTGCATAGATCTATGTAGATTTACTTCAGTTTTGCAATTGCACTGGTGTGAATAGCTTTCTATTTTCTGGAGTGTGTAAGAACCAGAAAGGCTGAAGACCATTGATCTTCCATACTCTACAACTTGGGATTTCTTTGCACTCATTGGAAGTGTGTAGTGTCTTCTCATGGCAGCATTAAGGATAGGATAGCTGCTGTGATACTGCTTGTCCTCTGAGGCTTTGGCTATTTTTTAAAAGACTAATTAAACAAAGAATAGCTGTATACTAATTGCAGTTATGTTTATTACTGTGATTTATTGAAGTTTATTTTCCATATTTAATGGGATTTTATGGACTTTGTAGTGATACAGTATTTGGAGATTGTACTAACTCTTTCCATATGATTTTCCAGACTTTTTACACTTACTAGAGGAAGAAATGATTCCTGCAAATACACTTCAATTCAAAGAGGTAATTCCTATATCTACGTATACTGGAGAAGGAATTGAGGAACTAAAAGCATATATAAGAAAATCCATATATGAGGAAGCAGAGCAGGAGAATGAAGAATATCGGAAAAATAAACTACAACTTTTACGAACTTCCCAAGAAGAAAAAATTAATAGAAGATAGCATTCCTGCATTGGTCCAACACATTTTAATATTTTTAGTATGTACATGAAGCTGTTGCTATGCAGACCTTCTATTTATTTTTTCTCTCTACCGTCACTGCAGAGTTCCCTGCTCCCTCCCATTTACTCCTTAGGCACTTGGGTACAGTGGGGAAAAGGGCAAGTTTTTTTGATTTATGTTTTCTACCTACTTAACAGAGTAAAGTAGGTAAAGTTAGTGATTAAAATTTGTCCAACTCAAAGCACAGCGCAACAGCTGATGATTCCTGGAATATTTTTTGCCAAATGAGATTAATGGAGGGAATGTAACCTGCATAGATAGCAAAGGAGCAAGTTCAACCACTCTACATCTTGAGCCACAGGCATCAGAAACACGAAGGGGAATTTCTCATGGATAAATTTGTCAGGGTCTGGTGTTCCTAAGGTAAACCAGTTCTGCTACTGTGACAGGCATTGGATTGGAGGGTTTTTGTTGTTTTAAGGATTTTAAGAAAAACACATATAAATGGCTGCAAGGAAATGACTTAAAGAAGCACAAAAAGCAAGGCTGATAATGTAATGTTGGAAGGTTTCTTGACACCTGCTGGTGCCTATGTAGTCCTCTTAATTGTATAAATCCTGATTCCAAATTTCCAGGCTTAATTTGTAATTCCCTCCTTTTATGGAGTTGTTGGGTATATTACTTTTTGGTGAAGAAAATGATTGCTTTTCAATCAGATCTGTAAATTTTGGGAATAGCTGATGTTCTAGATTTTGTATTACAAAAGGCACACTTACATTTTATTAAAAAAAAAAGTTCTTTATTGTCAGGGTGTTTTCTACTTCAAAGCTATTAAATGGATAGCAAAGCAAAATAAGACTGAATACATCAGTCTTCTTAGTTTGGTCTTGTTTTGTTTTGTAAGTATATGTATCAAACCCTGCTTCTCTAAATTTCATTTAAGCAGTCACTTAAGACTTAAGAAAGGTACGGTTTTTCATACATTTCTTTTATCTTTATGTTGGATCTTATTCTGATTTTCCTCTAGTTTTACTGTGTTTGAGGCTAATATGTTTTCACTAAAGTTAAGTGTAGGCTGTCAATTTTTGATACTCCATTTCAAAGAATCACAGATTCAAGTTGAAAAAGACATTTGAGATTGAGTCCAACCTATGACCCAACACCACCATGTCAATTAGACCATGGCACTGAGAGCCACATGCAGTCTTTCCTTCAATAGTTCCAGGGATAGTGATTCCACCACCTCACTGGGCAGTCCATTCCAATGTCTAATAACCCTTTCTGTAAAGAATTTCCTCATTCCAAACCAAAGTTCCCTGGTGCAGTTTAAGGCTGTCCTCTTGTCCTCTTGCTAGTTGCCTGGTAAAAAAGTTCAAGTGCCACCTGGGACATCCAGCCATGCTGGAGAGAGTGCTTCAGCCTGTCCAGCCTGCTGTAGCTAAGGAATTGAGCCAGCCCCACATGGATTTTGGGTCTGTTTTGTGTCCTCCCTGCCAGGAAATCTGGGAGGGCATTGGTTAAGTGCTGCCAGAAGGGCATGGAAGGCAGGCAAGAATCCTGCCAAAACTCCGTGCCGGCTGGGTGTGGGGGGAATGTCCTGCTGCAATGAGCGGCCTGATCTGGGTCAATCATCACAGGGAAGCTTGAAGTTACTCCATTCAGTAGCATCCTAAATGCTCCTGGTTTATTTACCTGGGGAGATAAAACTTGTCAGCTGAGGGCTCTGCAGGCTGGGAGATGCTGATGCAATGGGATGAAAAAAAGGGGAAGCAGTAGTGTAACATTTATGGTGAGACTCTGGCACAGGTTGCCCTTAAAAGCTGTGGCCGCTGCATCCTAGAAGTGTTTGTTCAAGGCCAGGTTGCACAGGGCTTGGAGCAACATGGTCTAGTGTTGATTCTGTAAGCTAAGTAGTGGATTCATCATCCCTGGAAGCGTTCAAAAAAACGTGTAGGAATGTCATATGGGGGCATAGTTTAGTGGTGGGCTTGGCGGTGCTGAGGGACCGGTTCGACTTGATGGTCTCAGAGGTCTTTTCCAATCTTAGTGATTCCACGATTCCACGCTGCGGCTGTCCGCTGCGGACGGGAATCGGAGCGCTCCTGGGTAGAGAGAAAGGCTGCAGCGTATCCCTCCTGCAGACTTGGCTAACAAGCCCCGCCCCAGTGGTCCTCCTGGGTACTGGGGACCTGGAAGTGAAAATAAACGTGAAACTCTTTGGGAAGTGCCAGGAGAAGGGGCAGCCTGGGAGCATCACTGCAAAAACCCAACGAGGCACACTGGGCAACAGGCTGGGATGTGCTTGGATGTTCTCCAGAGAGAGATCGCTGTGCTGCAAGATGCTCCCACAGCCACCCCTCTAGGCACCTGATTCCAGAACGTGTTTGCACTGAAATTCCACCAATTGCTCCAGCTGCTCCTCACAACAGCCACCTGCGAGAGCGCAGACATCAGTGCCCGTTGGCTTTGGCTGCCCTCTGGCAGGGAAGTCCCCGGGAGCACAGGGCTTTGAGGGCAGGAGACGGCACCACCCTGACAGCACTCGGGGTGGCGACAAAGGACTTGTCGAGGTGAGCGTGATGACAAGCGCTGCCTCCCACCTTTGCCCACTCGCAGCCGCAGCTGCTCTCTTAGACGAAAATTTTTTTTTTTTTTTTTGGACAGGCTTTGTGAACTCTGGTGTTAATCTCACACGTAACTGATGGAGTGGGGTGTGTTTAAAAAAAAACACAGCTTGTTTTGAACGGCGCTGGCCGCTTTGGGCAGGACCTGAGTGCCGTGCTCAGGTTCCTCTGACCACGGACAGCTGGCGTATTGGCAGACCATGTTTTAGAGCACGGACTGTCCCAGCCAGGAGCCGGGAGGTGCCTCCCTTCTCGCTCGCAGGCGGGCAGAGGCGGGGGCGCTGAGGGGCCGCCGGGAGCTGTGGTGCCGGGTCGGGCTCGCACTGCGCCGGCGCGGCCGCCTCGCCCCACAACGCCGCGCGCGGCCGCGGCCTCCCCAGAGCCGGGTAGGAGCGGCGGCGCCGGGGCCGGCAGCGGCCATGGAGCCTCGGCTGGGCGGCGGGAAGGTGAGCGGCGACACCGCGGCGGAGCTGTCCGGGGCCAAGGCACGGGGGATCCCGATCCCCACGGCCTTTCCCGGTTCCCCCCCGCGAGTCCGGCATCGCAGTGCGGCAGGTTCCGAGCGCTCCCGCGGGCGGGGGTCGAGGGCGCTCCTCGGGCGGGCTCCGTGTGTTCTCTTTCTGCTCTTTCCAAATCAGTCGGTAAAATAATTACCCGTGTTCCAGGTTTTTCTTGGAAGTCCTAATCTATTGGCTAGGATTGTTAGTTCTAACCCAGTACATCTGAATTTAATTTTAAAAGGAGTTTTGTAGAATTGAAACTGCGTGATTGATTTCCAGAAGGAAAAAAACAAAACCAACCAAACAAAAACCAAACAAACAAACAAAAAAAACCAAAAACAAAACAAAAAAAAAAAAAACCCAGACCGAAATGAGTGGTGGCACTGGTTCTGAAGCAGTTCCTAACAGTTACCTTGAAACAGGAGAGCTGTTGGCCTTTAGGTTTTGATGGCCAGTTATCCAAAACTCATAATAAATGTTAAACTGCTAATGCTCCTGTGATAGTTAGAGAGCCCATCTGCTTATAAATTGTGTTTATCAATTATACTGTGACTTGTCTTCTATAGGGCTTTACAGAACAGCAAGGGCTCCCAGACCGTGGTCTTCTCAAGGCCGTGCAAGGGAACAGAGCTGGTTTTACTCACCTTTGAATTACATCTCTAGTAAATGTCCTTTTTGTTTTCTTTGTTTCATTTTTTTATCTTGTGGGCCATTAAGACCTTCAGCTGGCATCTCTTGTTACAGCAACATGGATCTTTAGAGTAGAAGTTATGGTAAAATCTGTCCGTGAAATTGTATATATATAGTAGATATATACTGTGTGTGTGTATATATATATATATATATGTATATACATATATACAGTATATATATTGTAAAATCCTTGGGCTTAGAATCTGAGGCAAGGCAGGGTTTTATCTATCCTGGCCAAAGTGTGCTTTCTTCTCTTGGACAGCTAGTTCAGAAGTGGCTGAGGTTGTTCAGCACCACCAGTGATAGGCAATAAGATCAGATGGACTAAACAGAGGAAAAAAACCTTAAATGTCTACCGAAATTGGTGGCTTTCTGAGTTGAATATTGTGGAATATTTACATAGCTGCTCTGTATCTGTTTATTACAACAGCTGGTGGTCACAGGTTTCATCATTTCATGGGAGGGACTGCTGGGTTGGGCACAGCTCTCTCTGACAGCTTTATTTGCCTGTACTAATTTTCTACTTAATTATGGTTGTTACGGTTGTTTATGGGTGTGAACCTGCTGAGGGAGGTCTGTGTGTTTATCTTGGCTTCAGTTGCTGGGAAGTGCACAGAGAGCTTGAAAATTAGTCAGTAATGTTAGTTAACAAAGCTGCTGCTCCAAGCTTTGCAGTCATACTTTTCCGTTTTTGATATCTAAACTTTAAAAAAAAAAAGGGGCACGCTGTGTCTCCAAATGCAGTGGAACGTGCTGATGCAGTTAGTTTTCCCAAATTGCTTCATGTCTTGATGAACCTGGCAGTGGGAATCCCAAGAGATGCTTAATTTGATTGTGTGTGCATTTTCTTTGCATTATATGCCATAGCAATTCATATTGGAGGGCTTCAGATTTGGAGATTACTCTCTCAGTGAAAAAATTAAGATGCATGAGTGTATGCTGTAAGTTTGATTTTTGGCTAGATAGTTTGATATCAGAATTTCTTTGATGTTGCACCCCAGGAGCCTATGTGTATATGAATTTTATAATATTTCATGTTTTGATATAGGTAATTTAGAATATGTCCTTGTACATGTTAGTCCAGCAAACTCACCTTTACGTTGTAGCATTTAACAGTCACATAATGACACACTTGTAGGTCTGGTGCTGTGCAGTGGAAAAGTGATTTTAGTATTATGCCTGCAGAGTTGCTCTTGGGACTTAGATGCAGGGGTAAAGAGAATCCACAAGAGGATCCTTTCTCTTCCTCTGGAAAAGCTGGACAGCCATTGAAAAGACATCATCTGTATTTCCTGTCTTACGTTTCCTTGAAACCTTTGTGTAGAAGCCAGAAAGGAATAGAGAACCACAAGTTTATAAACAATTTAGAGCCTGTGTTTTGTTTTCTGACATGAAATAATCATTGCACCTCTTCCTCCCTGCTGATTAAGCACAGCTTTGAAGATAACATCTGAAATAATCATTCTGTGTGATTTTTACATGGATTTTTTTTGCTAGAAACATAAAATTTAGAGTGTGAATATCTGTGTTCCTCACAACACCCATAAGAAAGGGAGTTTTGTGATCCTTATCTCTTAAGATGAGTAGGTAGAAAACAAGCTCTGGGGGGAAAAAAAGGGAAGAAAAGTAAAGTAGCTTGAGTTTTGTTTTTTAAATAAGAGGAAATTGTAGCAAGGTGATGGAGTTGATCACATGCAAGCATGTCTGATATTCCTAATCTCTCAACTGCAGTGTAAACACTGTTGCTAAAATTGTGCGAGACAAATGTGATGCTGACTTTCTTTTTTCTGTTTCTTAGATGCAGTAAGACCTTTTTTCCTACTTCTAAAAGTTGCTAAGGTTTCTCTTGATTTGGACACACTGCTGGTAAGTACTGGATCCATTTAAGACAACATCAGTTTTGTTACTGTCTTAATCAGGGATCTGTAAATGCAGCTATATATACTATATACTGCCAGCAGTATTTGTAAGATGGGACAAGTCTCACCTGATGTGGGGATCATAGATAACTTACTTATTTGCAGTAATTTAATATTGTAAATGAATTTTCAGAAGCAGAGGGTTTCTGAAGCTGCTCGGTCATGTGTTTATTCCAGCTGCTTCTCATAGAGCTCTGTCTTGGAGAATGTCCTGTCTGCAGGGCATTCCTACCTGAAAGTTTTATCCAGGTAAAGGCAAGCTCTTTATGGAAAAGCAAAAGTATCAAGCTTGAGGAGAACAAAATCTGATGCTATATTAGATTTACGCCTCAAGCTCATTTGTTATAAGTTCCATTTTCTTGCAAGTTGATTGTGTTGACCTTACTGAAGCTGAGATTAAGCATAATATTAAATCAATCATGATGGCAGCAATTCTCAGGTCCCCCTACCCAGGGGTCCTCCTGCTAATGACCCACGGTGTAAAAAAGCTACTGTCATGAGAACAGTGGCTTGTCCACACTCAGCTACTCTTAGCAACAACATAATGCCATCTTTTTGATGAATAAGGTACATTTTTAGCATAAATGTGTTCTTGTCATTATTTCTTTTCACTTCAGTGCTTCTAAAGAAGAGTATGATCAGCACTCAAGTGGTGCCTTCAGTCAGTTGCAGTCCTTCAGGGTTAGGTGGCATAAAATAAATGACTAATAGTTTCTTATGAAACAAATTAGACTTCATTTTTTGTCTTTAAATAATCAATAAATGTTGGCTGTCTATATGGCTTGCTTTTAATCTGTTTCCAGTATACATGGGAATTCCTTATCTGAAAGCTGGAACTCCCTGGCCATTTGATGTTTGCAGACGTTGAAGGAGAGCGGGGATCAGATCCAGTTGCCTCTTTGGCTGCAGCTATTTCTGTAACCTTTCTGCAATACAGATACTCAGTTACTTGTATATGTGCTAGGTAAAACTTCTCATACCTAAAGTGTTTTATGACTTTAGACAGATATGCACCTTGCAGTATAATGATTCAGAAGACATTTCAGGAGGAGTTGATAACAATTTGCAAAATATCTGCTCATTTTTAGGTACTGTAATTCTTAGTGTCCAGCTTCAAGTACACTCTGGGGTGAATGCTCAGTGCCTATTATGAATTAGGCTTCTTTAAAGTGTCTTGAGCGTGCAGAGAAGGGATAACTTGAGTCTTTTTTTTTTGTTTAGTTTCCTTTGTTGTTTGGTTTTTAAAGACCCATCATTGAGACTGTTTTGCAGGACCTCTGCAGGCAAGGACTGCAGATACTAGGGGCCAATACTAGGGACACAGACAGTGGTTATATTGAAAAGGAAGCAGTATTCTTCAACACTTGGTCTGAAGAGGGAAAGGTGAAAAGTTGCCTGCTTTCTGTAATTGTTTGTGTGCTTGGACAGTTGGTTTTGAAAGGCAAAAGAAGCGTGGAGGAACTGTCAGTTGCTTTTGAAAAATTCATAGTAAATTACTCAGCAGAGCCTCCACCACTAGCTCACAGCTCTCCCAACAGTTTGGCCTATATAAATGTGTATAACTGCCTACATATGCATTCCGTGCCAGTCTAATGATGCAGGTTTTAGGCAACTCCCTTCTACTCACATGGCAGCGTGGTAGAACTGGTGTACTCTGAAACTACATTTGGGCTGAAGAGAGGAAGCTGCCAGCTGAGGACAGGTGAACTCAAATCAAGCTCACGCAGTGAGCTTCACCTGGACTCCGTGACAAAGTCCATACAGTGACACAGAGTGAAAGGCTGTGTAGACTTGCACATTGAAATGTGCTCCTTTTTCATCTTAAACACAGTGAATGTAGCAGTCTGTCAGCTGAGCAGTCACAACAGTGTGAAATAATCTGACGTTTCAATAAAGTGTGAATGTGGTAGTGTTACCGCTAAGTGTGTCAGACAAAGAAGGTGCCACAGAGTTAGTGCCTACCAGCTGCCATGTAAGTTTATTAACCTGCCATTAGTCAACTGTAGTTAGTCCTGTGTCCATAAGCTTTCACCTACTGATTTTCTTTTATATTTTTCTTTTTAATTGCAGGAAACAACTTCTGTGGGCAAACATGGGTTGCCGGGATGTTCACGCAGCAACTGTACTGGCCTTCCTCAGTGGAACAGCCTCCGTAGCCGGACTCCTTGCAGCAGTTCTGCTTCCAAACTGGAGGCAAATGAGACTCTACACATACAACAAGAATGAGAGGAACGTGACCGTTTACACTGGACTCTGGATTAAGTGTGCTCGCTTTGATGGGAGCAGAGACTGTGTGATCTATGACCCACAGTGGTACACTGCTGTCGATCAGCTGGATTTGCGTGTTCTGCAGTTTGCCCTTCCTCTGAGTATGTTTACTGCTGTCTCAGCTCTGTTTCTCTGCATGATTGGCATGTGTAACACAGCCTTTGTATCCACCGTGCCAAACGTCAAATTGGCCAAATGCCTTGTGAACAGTGCAGGCTGCCACCTCGTGGCTGGCCTCTTGTTCTTGCTTGCCTGTGCCATTTGTCTCATTCCGTCCGTCTGGGTCATTTTTTATAACAATTATCTGAACAGAAAATACGAGCCTGTCTTTAGCTTTGACATCTCTGTGTTTATTGCCATTGCCAGCGCCGGCGGTCTGTTTTTCACCTCCATCCTGCTGTTCCTGTGGTACTGTGCATGCAAAAGCCTCCCTTCCCCGTTCTGGCAGCCTCTGTATTCCCACGCCCCCAGTATGCACAGCTATGCCTCGCAGCCCTATTCCACACGCTCCCGCCTCTCTACTGTAGAACTTGACATTCCTGTTGTGACACATTCATCTTAAGGAGACAAAGTCTTGGAAGCTGAGCTCTTGTGCTCATTCAAACCATGAAAATTGCAGGCTTGATTCTCTCTGCTGCCCTGCACTGAGCATAATTCTTTTTAAGGTCAAGTTTCCTAGGGCACAAAGCAATGGAAATCCAAGTTCGTTGCTGTTCTGGTCTGTTTGTTACTTCTTGAACAACTTGGTTTTTTGGGGTTTTTATTTCTTTTTTTTAACTCTAATCTCACTACAGACGAAATTGCTGCTAATGCTGGGACAGTACACTAACAATAGTATCCCTCCATTGTTTTGCTTACTGACATCAAAGCAGGTTTGAACCCCTTAGATATTTGATAAGCTATTACTAGATGCTGATCTTGTTGTAAAACCCTTGCACCCATGTATTATCCAGATGCAGGCAGTGGAACTGAGTGCAGGAGATTCACTGAGTCTCCTGTTCATCTAGACACACGTATTTTATTATGTGATGTCTGAAAAGGGTATTTGGCAGACTAATTCAGTTCTGTGCATGGTTCTTTTTTTTTCACTGCACACACAAAAAGCTACTCGCTTAGGAACTTCTCTAGCAGAATTAATGCCAAATTACCCTTATTTTCAAAGTAGCCATCAGAAGGAATAAAATTGATTTAACTAAGAATGTTGTTTTGTGCTGTAATAGCATTTTATGAATTACTGGAGGCTAGAAATTTTTTGCCAATTTTATTTCTAGTCTGTTTTTTACTAAGTTAGCAAATTTGTTAGATCTATTTTGTGATTAAAAAAAAAACACTAGTATTTAAAATTCTGTTTAGAAGCTTGAATGTTTTATTTGAAGGCCTTCTTAAAAATGGATTTTGAAGTAGGATATAAAGTGTTCAGTTCTGGAGAGAAGTGTCACTACAAAATGGATTAGGAAAGCCATGAAGAATTCTGAAGGCTATGGAAGATTCTTTTGGAACACTGTACACAAGCTATAACAACATCTCTCTAGGAAAGTGGTTATATCCCTGGGGAGATATTTTTTAATCTATTTTTTTTTAAATGTATATACAAGTAGCAATGAGCTTGTGAGTTTTTCAGAGTTGATCTTTATGGTTGTTGGACTTTTCACGCTGTTGCTTATTTAATTAGTGATTAGGCTTTACTTTTTCAGCCTTGTTCTTCAACACCTTTCAAATTCAGCTATTTTAAAATCCAGTTATTTTCTCTGCTGCCACCTCTCAACTGCCAAAAGCTTCCCATTCCCATTTTCTGTAAGATGAGGTTTTGAATAACTTGTGAGTTTCGCCTTGTAGCTCTAAAGGATGAGGAAGAGTTGTAAATTCCCAGCCTAGGATGTCTTTAAATCACTTTTTTCCTTCTAAAATGCAGAGTGGCAGGTGAGCCCTAACGATTGGAGCTCTGCAATGTGGGCTTTGAAATTACTTGGAAATTTGATGACAGTGAGTTGAAGAGTGCTATAATTAAGGCAAGTAATTGATTCTCTCAGATTTTGGCAAATTGAGATCTTATGTTTAAGATGTCATCCCAGTAAGGAAAGTTGTTTTGATTAGTGGCATTCTGGAGCTTAGTGGATATTTGCATTTCATTAATTCCAGAATAAGTTTACTTTTCTAAAAAAAAAATCAAGTTCTTTAATTCTAGTTCTGAAAAATCATCCAAGGTCCTGAAAATCAGTGAGTTTCCTCTTCTAAGTATTAGAAATGGGAACAAATACTGTGCTGGGCAAATCTTGTTCTGTTAAATAACAGTGTGTTAAGAGGAATCATTGTGATTTAGCTGATAGACCTCAGACTTCGGTGGATTGAGGGAGGAAGCTGATCTCTGTCATATTCTCAGCATAGTCAGTGAAAAGACAGTTCTTTCCTGCAGAGTGCTTGATTAAATTGCAGTCTAAGGAATTAACGCTGTAGATGATAAAGAATACTTAAAGAGATAGGCCTCCAAAGTTACATGAGTTTAATATCCTCTTAGGTTTACAAGGTATGAGAGTATGAAGGATCTTTTTTCTTTTGTATAATGATGTGCAAGACAGCTTTTTTTCTTCAGAACTGAGCTTTGCTTTACTGTTACTCTCATTGTCCAGCCACAGATACCATTGCTGTTTTAGCTGTCTGTATCCTTGGAGGCTTTGTAAGGTCAAAGCAAGGGGGCCACAGGTTTGTGATTTCACAGCAGCTCGCTTCCCCATCACTTCAGTGTCTTTTCTTCTTTGTGCCTTGCTGAAGTTATGATTTGGTCAGTAAATGTTACTTTACTGTCAGTGTCTGATACGCTTTTTGAGCCTGAATTTACAAAGCATTTTGATCATTTTGGAGAGATGATCAATATATGTCTTGGTGATTTTAAAATGAGCTGAATCTTCAGCATCTCCAGAACAAGAATAGCATCCTGGCAAACTGTTTTCTACAAGAATGTAAGTAAATGCAGCCAGTGTTGTTTTCTGTGCACTTTAATAGCGGATGTCTCTGACAGCTCTTTTGTATTCCGACTTTGGTTTTTATGCACAAAACTTTCAATGAGTATTTGCTGCTGCCTAAGCTGATAACTTGTTGCTTTGAAAATTGTGTCTTTCCAAAAGTCTGAGATGAGTGACTTATGAAAAGCAGAGATCCAGAAGTTAATGGATTCCAGTGTAGGTCCCAGCAAAAAGACTGTTGTATCACCAAAGCACGGCTGAGTTTCTTTCAACAGTGTTGTTAATGTGAGTTTCTGCTGGATCCTAAATGAAGTTATCTGGAAGTGCTGTGCTGTATTTTCTTTGTTACAGAAAGAGGTGGCCAACCTGTGACACTTGAGCCAGCTTTCTCTTGCTAAGGTTGCCACTGTGCCCAGCTTCAGGGCTGGGGAGTGACAGGCCTTCCTGTTTTGAAGGGAACAACACATGTATCCTGCATGTGTCTGCCAGGGAACAAACAGCCTCTGGGGAGCAGTTAGCACCCCTTCTTCTGACCAGCTGCCCCTTCCTGGGCACTCTGCTGAGTGCAGGACAAGCACTCTGGGTCTTGAACACAGATTTTAATTTGTGGCTCATGCAGTCAAAGGTTGGGTGCTCTGGGATTACAGGAACCTGTATTTTTTTCAAGTAATTCCTGTCCAATTTCTTAAATTGTGTTTAGTTACAGTGTTGGTTCTTTTTATGTGAAACAGAAGATATGTATTTTTAATAAAACAGTCTCATACAGATGCAGTTTGTGTTGATTAATTTTGTGGAAAATGGTAACTGCTAGAATATGAAAGACTTTATCTGTTTTAAAAATGATCACCAGATGCCTTAACAGGTTTAAAATGTTGTGCATACTGCATTTTAACTCCCTAATTTTATAGAACTCCTTTAAACAAAACAAAATAATTTTAAGAAGCACCAAAAAGTGCAAACAAACCCATCTAAAAGCTTGACTGATATTTCTAATTTCACTTTATTGTAAGCCAGTCATAAGTTCTAGCATCCCTTGCCCCTTTAAAAGGACAAGATTGATTTCCCTTAGTCTACAGGATTCCCTTTCTCTGCCTGTGGCCAGAGTGTGGTCTGGGGGCCGGGATATGGCCCAGCCACATAGAGAGCCGGAGTATCAGCATGGCACAGCAAAGAGCACAGTCCTCACCCTGTGCCCAAAGCCCCATCTCTCCCTGTGTCAATTGTGCCACTTAACCAGTCCAGCTTACTAACCCAGCTGAAAACTTCCACGCTGGGATAATATTTCCATGGACTGGTGAGATTCGTGTTGTGTTAGTGTCACATTGGAGGGGGATTGTGGCATAAGCCATGCTCCTGCCCTTCCCTTTGCTGTGCCGGCTGTCAGCTGGAGAAAGTGCTGCTGCCCGGACGTGTGAAAGTCATTTGGGTATTCCAAGGACTTGCGACAGTTCGGAGCAAGGGGGATAGTTCATGACACTTCACTTCTGTTGTGTGCTGCTTCTGGCAACTGCAGCTCAGCAGCGCCACGGTGACTCAGTGCCGAGCCTTCCCCCACTGTTACGGGGCACAGTAACAGTGTAAGAGTCTTAGAAATGCTGATGCTGTAGTGCAGGTTCACAAAACCTGTATTATTTATGCAGAATGGAGTGAGGCTTACTGGTAATTCCTCTGGATTTCTAGTCTTCTAAGCTGGCATTCTAGGAGGCTGGGTTTTTATCTGCTTGGGAAAGTAATGGTTATATGAGTTCTCATGGAGTCGGCACAGTATAAGCAGTTGTCAGTACCAAAACTCACATGAGGGGGTGAAAAAATTATTTTATAGTCTTCTTCATTTCCTCCTTTGCTGCCCCTTTCAGACAGGCCTCCTATCTCTATGAGCTGGTATGAACTTAGGGTACAGTTGGATGTTGATAAAAATACTGGGATGCAGAGAGCTCAGTTTCTCCCAAAATGTGAGAATGCCTCATTTTTTCCTTATTAAAATTCCTAAAATTCCTAAAAAGCTACCCCACTTATTTGTGCTCATTGAAAACAAATCTCTTGCCTGTTTTTTTCCCTTGTTTTATTTCACAGGACTGGAGTCACATGTGGTTCATCAGGTATGTAATGTTACTTATCCCTTCTTGTATCTACTGAGCAGGCAGGTAACACACTTCAGAAACAGCATAAGCTTTTTTTTATATGTTTTTTGTTCCACTGCGTTCATTCTTGATGAATACTGCTGCATCAGAGAGACATCCAGAAGCCTTATCAGAAGGTAGTTTCTGATGTCAAAACTGCTTTTTATCTGTATTCTAAACAGTCAATTTGCTTATTCAGGTATTAGACTCTAGGTATGGGACCTTTGTCTTTTGGGTGTGGCAGCTGCAAGGAGTTGTAACAGCTGAGCACAGGGCAGCAGCAGTTGTGTGGAGCTGTAGGGCAGGAATGATTGACTATTTTGAGGAGAGAGAACAGACAGCTGGACTTCAAGAGTAATTAAAGCTCAAAATATTTGAATAAGCTTTACTCAGTGCCAGACTCCCAGAAGGTTATAAGCAAACTTGGAAAACACAGCATAAAAGTACTGCCCAAGCAGTATGTGTCCTTGGGGACCACAGATGTTGACCAAGTGCTCAGCACCACTTCCTAGCTATATGCCATGCCAGAAGATGCTGTTTAGTCACCACTGCCAAGGCTGGCATTTTTGCACCAAAGCCCTCTTCAGTCCCTTTGTGATCTCACCACCCCAAATTACAGACCTTCCTCCAGTCAGAGGGGTCTGTAACCATTGATATTGCACTAGTTTTCTTCCCAAAGCCGCAACATACTTATAAATAAATATGTAAGATCACTTACAAAATCACATTGGACTTTAAATAAATACTAAGCAGTTATGCCAAAAGTAGGTTGTTTCCTAAACCAGGTCCTGGTACTGCAGACACTTTCTGGCCTAGTATTCAAAAGGCTTCAGCATGTGTTTTTTTAATGGACTTAAACAGATGTAAATATATTCTGCTACCAGAAGATGAAATCATGTCTTATTACTCCTTTTGCTATTTATCTTCTCTGCTTATTTAGTTTTCATCCCCCCAGGTGGCTAATTTAGTCTGCCTCCTGGTCACGAGTGCCAACACAAATCTGAGTGGAAGTAGAAGGGCAAGATGGCAGCTTTAGGTTGATTCTTCATGAGTCCTTACTTTGATGCCTTTGTTTTCTCACCTAAAGAGCAATTTGCATAAGAAAGACTCTGTTAATTTGAAAAATTTTTAAGGTGGTTTGTGTTTATTAATTGTCGAAGCTGTTGAAAAATGCTGCATTTGGAGAAAAATGTTGAACGTTTATTAGCAAGGCAAAAAAATCACGTTTCAAAACATTTCAAAGTTTGTTCCATTTCATCCTAATTCACTTAGAAAAAGATAGTATGGCACGGAAAAGAGGTAGTGAAGCACAGAATTTCTGAATTTGAAGATTACACTGCTTTAGATTATGTATGTATGAAGAAATCTCAACTGCTAATGATATTAGTAAGACAAGAGGTAATTTTTAATCGATTATTAGTGCCAGATATTAAGATATTTGCATTAGTTTATAGGTTGTATGGGAATGGTTTAGTGTTATCTGTAGAGACTCAGAACCAGGGG